TATTATTATTATTATTATTATTATTATTATTATTATTATTATTATTATTATTATTATTATTATTATTATTATTATTATTATTATAACCTATATGCCACCCATACTACACATGCCAAAGAGAAAATAATCTGTCGTGCCTTTTAGTACCTACTTACTACATTTAAATCTGAGGAAATTCAGTGCCATTAAAGCCTCTTTCCCTCAGCCTCGCTCTCTTGATGTCACCTTTTTGTGAATTTGATGCAACAAAAAGTTAGGTTGCCATTCAGTCGTTAGCCCCAATGAATTAGCCCCACGACAGCAAGGTCCTTGAATCCACAGGACGTTGGTCAAACATAAGCTTACACCACAAAGTCAGTATTGGTAAGCTTACACTTGTGAGTAAGCTTATATTTGCAGTGGTGCCTCGCTAGACAGTTACCCCACATGACAGTTTTTTCGCTAGACATTGACTATAGCGATTCGCAAAATAGTGGTTCCTATGGGGGACTTTCGCTGGACAATGTTTGATCCCTGCTTCGCAAACCAATTTTCGCTAGACGACGATTTGCTTTTCGCTAGACAATGATTTCGCTAGACAGCGATTTCAGTGGAACGGATTATCATCGTCTAGCGAGGCACCCCTGTACTGGGTAGAGCTCTTCCAGTTAGAACGGGCAACGTGATCCAGCCTCCAAACTCTTAAACTCACAGTTGCGAACCAAATTAGGTTCTGTGAGACTGTCCTGAGTCCAGGGGGCCATCTGGCTGTGGGTTTCAGAGAGCTCTCCACTGAAAAAAAAAAAATCACATTGCCAACCATGCAGAGCTCACAGTTGCGAACCAAATTAGGTTCTGCGAGACTGTCCTGAGTCCAGGGGCCACCCGGCTGTGGGTTTCAGAGAGATCTCCCCTGGAAAAAAAAATCACATTGCCAACCATGCAGATGGAGCAGGGGCGAGGGATTTCATTCTGTGTCCCTGTTTTTGCGATGTCCGAGCAACTGTTCAGGGGAAGAGACCGCCTTGAAACAAGACAATGGAAGGGCACAGGATTTGGCTGCCGGGACCCGGATTGCGCCATTCATGTTCTTAATGTGTTCCCTAGCAGCTGTTCCTTTTTAGTACGAGCAATTCTTTGGCCTCCCGCCTGGGGGTTACAGGAATCATCATAAAACGCAGTCCCTCTGATCCGGTGCTCCGAGTGATGAAATGAGGATGAGTCATGTTGCGTCCCTGGGAAAATACCTAATAACGCCTTCCTCTCGCCCCCGTTCCCCCCCGGCTCTTTCCCCCTGTTTCCTTCTTCTTTGTTCGAAGCCGCTCAAGGACAGGTGCATCCACAGAGCCACCCAGAGGAAATTAAGGGGTTTTCTGGACTATTTTGGAAAAAGTTCAATAATAACGTGAACACGGCTTCTCTCCTTTCTTCAGGGACCAGAAGGCAAACCGGGCCGACAAGGGGAAAAAGGCAAAAACGGACCGAAGGTAGGGGGTTCTTCCTTTTTTCTTACTGCTAGGGATGTCCCGGAGCATCATCTTCCACTTCCATTTCGAGTGGGGCTGGCCCTGGGAGTGAAACGACCTATGAGAAGGGATTCATACTCCACGTGATTCACCCATTTCCCTTCCCACAGCATTTCCTGTGCAAAAAACAAACAAGCCTTAAAAAAATCAGATCTACAAATTAAGCCCCCGTTTATGCCTTCCAAGGACCAATCACAGAACAAAACACACTGAATATAAGATATTTGGATGAGGTTGTTGGACAAGCAGACTTTTTTTTTAACCACTTGAGGGAGTGCTTCTGCAAATGTACCCTCTTGATGAGCTGGCTAACCTTCTCTCGAGGCGAACGTTGATCCTGAGGTGCTAGACTTTATACTGCGAGTTCTTTACCTGACATGCTGTCTCTCGCATTGCGGCCCAGATGCAAACCATCACAGCCGCAGCGATATCCCTTACATTTGTCTGGGTCCATCTTAACGGTATCCTGACTGCGGGTTCTTTACCTGACATGCTGGCTCTCGCGTTGCGGCCCAGATGCAAACCATTGATAGCCCTTACACTTGTCTGGGTCCATCTTAACGGTATCCTGAGATTTCCACTTTTGGTGAGGTGCCTGCGCCTTCCTGTGAGAGAGCCTTGGGGGCACCACCTGGGCAGGAGCAGAGAGTTCTATGGGTCTCCCCAAACGATCAACCTTAACGACCCCACTGGGTCATGGGATGGTGGGTCAACGTGGTATCCAAACGCTGTAGCTGTTGCAGCACAGGATAGCCTTTTGGGGGGGGGTGTTTAGCGGGGCTTCCCCCGACATCTGCTCTGCTTGTGTCTCTCCAGGGCAGCAAAGGTCACCAAGGCCAACTCGGGGAGACGGGCCCGGCTGGGAGGACGGGATCCATGGGGACTCAAGGCCCGAAAGGATCCCGAGGTACCCGAGGACCTATGGTGAGAATCGAGTGGGGGGCTCCTTCTGTCTCTGTCTGGGGAGGGGGCCAGGATTCCATTAGCCTTGCTTTTGAGCAGAGATGGGGGAGAAAAAGGAGAGGAGGAGCTTCCTCCCAAGGAAACCATGGATGAAGCCACCAGCGAGGGCTGTGCAAGGACACAGCTGACCCTTAACCCTTGTGTGTGTGTGTTTGTGTGTGTTCCCCCCTCTGCCCCAACAGGGTTCTCCAGGAAGAATGGGTGTGCAAGGTGAGCCAGGCTTGAAGGGCTACCAGGTGAGTCTTTATTTGTTTTTTTGTTTGTTGGGCTGCTTGTCAAAAGCTCCATGCCGTCATTATTTTTTATTTTTATTTGTTCAATTTATATCCCACCCATCTGGTATATTCTACCACTCGTGCCGTCTTTCTTGCATTGCGATGGGTGTTGAGGCTGGACCTCCCTTATCCATCTGCAGGGCCGGTCAGAAAAACAGTCTGGCCCGTTCGAAGAGGTGGAGCCGTTTCCAGGATCCCCTACTGATGGCATGTTCCTTCTCCTTCCTGTCTCCTTTAGGGTCACACGGGACCACCCGGCCCAACTGGACCGCCCGGGCCCAAAGGCGAAAAGGTAAATCAGTAGAATCTATGCAGTGTGGCAGAGTTCAAGAAAAAAAGAGAATATGTTAAGAGGATGCTGTGACGGGAACTGTAGGTTCATTTCCCCCTTTAGGCAGTCGAATCTATGCGGTGTGGCAAAGTTCAAGAAAAAAAGAGATGTTAAGAGGATGCTGTGACAGGAACTGTAGGTTCATTTCCCCCTTTAGGCCAAATCTGCGGATGGCCTGTGTGGTGAAAAGCCAGGGAGGGACAAAATACATGCCAACTGGCTTTCCCTCCAGACACACAGTTCCTTCAAAGCTCCATGACTTAGCCATCAGACTTGCAAGCGAAACCTGGGTTTACCTGTTTACGAAAGAAAAACAAGCTAACTCCAACATGGGGAGGAGAGAAGGGCTCATTGTCCTTTGTTTCCCATTCCCACCCACCCCTTGCAACAACCCAGCCTTTGTCCTGTTCTTTAATCACTACATCATCCTACATTGTGGCTTTTCTCTCTCTCTCTCTCTCTCTCTTCCTCCTCTTGGGAGCAAATCTTCAGTTCCACTTAGAATCCAAAAGAGCTCCTTAATATGACTTAGGACAAGCACAGCTGCACTGGATTTGCATTAAGTCTAATATTCCACGCAGTGTATATGGTTATGATCTGCACTTTGCTAATTCACAACTTGGAACGCGCATCCCATGATTTGAAATGTAATCTGGTTTTATTATCCAACATGGGCTTAGTACCGCACAATCCTTGACCATCTGTTAAAGATCTCAGATTGTTCACAAGAGGCTCTGCCATCTGAGTATAATTCCTATATTATTAGTTCCGTCTGTGAGTTTGACGCTTTGTTAGCCTGTTTCCCAAAAAGCAAGTTCTAATGGGAATCTGGCAGGGAGGTTGGTGTGTGTGTGTGTGGATACGGTGAGGCGTTGTTGAAAAGATCAAGTGGAGATCTAGTAAGAAATGTTTCAGGGGACATTCCTTTGTATGGAGAAAGGTCTTATGATCCCGGTTTGTGGGATCCCTCTGGATCTTGCCCTAGCCTGGCATCATCATAACATTCGAACCAATGTCCTCCCATGCCTCCCTTCCTCCGGTGACCTTGTCTTTAAGGGTTCACGGCCTTCCCGTGGTGAGGCCTTAAACTAAAACAAGGCACAAACATTCATTCAATCCAATGTGCAGAAGTAAACGCTGCAATACGCTGGCCAGCATGTCCAACTGGGATGAGCATTGTTTTTTGTTTGTTTGTTTTTTGAGGTTGGTTTGTTTTCTGACTGGCAGCTGTCTCTCACTCTTGGCTGGAGGCAAGGACCCTAAGGAGACTTTCAGATTCCTCAAGGGGTGCCTTGTCGAGATAAAAAAAACCCACCAAAATCGTAGCAGACGACATGTTTAAGCGAGCCATATTTACATTCGTGCTCGCATCCACCCTTCTCGGAGGGCTGGCGAGACACCTCTATGGCGCTTTCAGGGACTTGCATCCCGATGCAAAAAAAGGAACGAAGGGAGAGGCCTTTCCCGCCTCCTCTCCTGGCCCTGGGAAGGTTTTCTTTCTGGCCTGTTCTCGCAAGCTCTCCATCCTTCCCTTCCAAATATCTACGAGAGCAGTTTCAGCCTTGCGTCGAAGTCTAGATATCTGCCCACACACCCCGTTTCCAAAGACGGCAGGGAAATTCCTGTCTTTTGTCACTCTTCTCGCTGCACCACTTTCTCCTGCCCCGGGCCCCGTTTTTTAGTGGTTCAGTAAAGGTGTCCCCCTGCTCTTGCATTTGTGTCACCGTGAACCACGGGGCGTTTCCTTCGTTCTTTCCCATTTTCCCTGGCGTCCCAGCCAGCCACAAATCTCCCCTTCCAATGTTCCCATATCCTGGGAAAGGAAAGAGCGGGATGGAAATGGATTTTGGATGCCATGGGGAGGCAAGCAGGGCTCTCTCTCTCTCTCTTTGCATAAGGGAAGTGCAGGAAGCACGCAAACAGGTGCCTCTTTTCTGACCGGCCCTGGCAAGTTTCATCTTTCACCTCCTTTTGAGGCAGCAGGTTGGTTTAGTGGGGGTCGGGGCAGGCCTTGGGAGCTGCAGGACTCCGTCCTCCAAGAGGGGAGAGAGTCGCTGGGGACTTGGGCTTAGTGGGGGTCGGGGCAGGCCCTGGGAGCTGCAGGAGGGGAGGGAGTCGCTGGGGACTTGGAAAAAGGAGCCCGCCACTTGACTCACCTTGCCAAACAGAAGGGCCGTACCTGCAACCACCACCCCCCACTGCCCCTTTAACCTACGGATGTTCAGTGCAATGCCAGCTAAGGAGCACTTCCGCTAAGGGTTTTAGAAGGGGTAGCTGTGTTAGTCTGGGCAAGTGTTATAGGTAAAAACAAAGCAGAAACAAAAAGTTAAAAAAAAACAAGGTAAAAACGCGGCGGTACCTTAAAGACTTAATTTTTATATATTTTTTTAATGTCTTCATCAAGCTCACATTGGGGGAAAAATTACAAAAGTTAGTTTTTAAGAGGCCACTATGTTTTTACCTTTTGTAAACTTCTTATTTCTATTTTGCTAAGGCCAAGGATGCTAAGGGATATAGTAATTCTATATTACCTTGCACGGTGCTGTAATTTCATTTGGATGATGCCTGTTGTCTTTGTCGAAATTTACACCCAATGAAGGGTCATGGCCTGATCTCAACCCTGGTGCTCATGTTTGCAGGGAGAACAAGGTGACGATGGAAAAGTCGAAGGGCCCCCTGGACTGCCTGGAGACAGAGTAAGCAATCTCTTCTGTCTCCATATTCACTGATAACCTGAAGCTTCCTGCAAGTCAGATGATACTCCGTATCCTCAGCTAGGTCTGCATACCTAACGCCTGGAGACAGAGTAAGCGATCTCTTCTGTCTCCATATTCATTGATAAGCTGAAGCTTCCTGCAAGTCAGATGATACACCCCGTATCCTCAGCTAGGTCTGCATACCTAACAGAGACATGCAAGAGAGCTACACTGGAGAGGCAGGTCATGTCCTGCTTTGAAAATTCATAGGATGCCGTGTTTGCAAATGTGTAAAATAAAATTCCCTGAATGTAGAAAGCTAGCTCAGAAATGAGTGGGCTAGACTGGAAGCTTTCTTCCTGATGTCATACTGTCTCTTTATATCCTGCTCTTTCCTCAATAAGCCCAAACTGTGGCTAAGTCGTGTAAATTGGATTAATAATAAATTGGATTAATAACAAAAACAATAAAATGGCCATATTACACTTAAAATGCAAGGGGAAAAAAGAAATCAAGATTTACAAAACTTAGAAGGCAGCAGTTAGTGTCATTAAGAGCTGATTTATTCTACACTCCTCCTTCCACCTTCAGCGTTCTCTGGAAAGGAGAACTTTTAATGTTTGTTGGAGGGGGAGAGTACCTCCTGTAAGAAGAAGAAGAACTATAACCTCAGGCCACCCCCAAACAGGCCTTGCTCTCAGCGACCACCATGACGTCGCCTCCCCAGGGGAGGGACGTGAGCTGGGGCTGGGAGGAGCGTGCTTGCATCCCATGTCTCTCCTTTTTCTCTCTCTGCCGCTCTTTCGTAGGGTCCTGCTGGTGACAGAGGGGACCGTGGCGAATCTGGAGACCCTGGTTATCCTGTGAGTCCTTCTCCAAATCCCTGGTTAGGAAATTAACCATCTTGGGAAAAGTTGTTTCTGCTCTGTAATGTTCCACGGTGCTGGAGCCGGTCGGCCCGCTAACCTTTTAAAGTGTATCTGGGGGGTGTCTGCTTGCACCTCACCCTGAAGAGGACCTGTAACACCAAAGAAAGAGGACAGCCATTTATATAATGTGCACAACATTAGAAAATGATTTAAAAAAAATAATACCTGGGCAGGGAAGGCTGGAACTGGGTGACTTTTGGGCTTTTCGCTGAGTCGGCCGTCCAGGTCCTGAATGTGGTGGAATAGCCACTTTGGGGAGCTCACCATGGGGAGAAAAGAAAGATGAAAAGGCTGAACAAAGGCCCTGGTCTGAGGATCCATAACAGAAGCATGTCCTTCGAAGCTAATATCTTCGTCATCTTCAAGAGACGGGATTCCAGCAGACTTTTGGAGCCCATGTTTACTTCCTGAGGACCAAATACCGAATAAAGCAGGCCGGTTTGCAAACTATTTGAGGTGCAAAAAGTTCATGCTGTCATAATCAGCTGTCTTTCCCCAGTTCAGGAACTCCCTTTTCTAATGACCATCTGTCTCTAAGGCATCGTGTGGCCCTCCAAGGTGATGACCAGCCTACTTTACCCTGGCAGTGGCAGGGTTGAGTCCGGAACTGGGTCTCCCTCGACTCTAGTTGGACTGGCTTGGAACGGGAGTCCCTCAAGATGTTGGGACTACCTTTCCCCTCAGTCTTGATCTTTGGCTGTGTTGGTTGAGGATGACAGGAGCTGTATCGCCTGAACATAGGCTGGCCTCTGCCAAAGCCTCGTTATTGCTTTACTACCTGAGAAGTGTCTGCATTTCTCATCACTCGGACGCAACGCAAGAGCTTAGCATGGTTGGGCGTCTGCCAGGATCCGTATCCCAGTGCCAGCCCTCAGAACCTCCTGGATCCATCCTGCTATTGCTCCTCCTGTTCCCTCTGCCTGCTCGCCTGACGTCTCTGAGCAGCGACAAGAGGGCTCTGCTCTATCGCATGAGTCGTCGCTTGCTCGCCACGTGACAATACAGTACACATTGGGTTATAAGGAGGAGATCTGGTAGTGATGGTCAACCATGGGTCTTTCAAATTGTGTGTGTGTGTGTGTGTGTGACAGCATGCTCGGTGTTAGGCACCCACTCCATGGCCAGCAGACGACATGAAGCATAGCTAAGACTTGATTGTATATAAGCAGGTTCTCGTTATGATCTCTCTGTATCTAAGAGCCATCCATCAAACCGGGTCCTCGTCTTCGTAGCCCGCGAGGTGTTGCTTAATTTGGACGAACTCCTCTCACAACCGTTGGTCCTTAAATCTCAAGCCTGAAAGATTTAACTTGGACCCTCTCTTTCTTTTCCCTTTAGGGCCAAGAAGGCCTTGACGGAGAGAGAGGAAAACCGGGCCAGCAGGGGCTCCCTGTAAGAAACCTGTTCTCGCGATTTCTCCTTCTGAAATGTGTTCTCTGCTTGCATGAGAAATGTGTCGGAGAGAGCAAGAGGGAAGCGGGATAGACCCAACGCGGGTGGCAGGAACCGACTCTCCCGAGCGCACGTTGACAAGCACGGTCCTGTGCCTCGTTTCCTGGGCAGAGCAAGAGCCGGTCGTGACCCCCCTCCCGATATTCCCCCCCCCTTTCATGTACGCTCTTGTTGAAACAAAAGGTCGCTTCCTCAAAGCGATGCCACGCAGCTCAGGCCCTCCCAGGCAGGCGGAGGGGCCTTCCTTAACAAGAGATGTCTGAGGGGACCCCCCTTTCCATGTTGCCCTTCGTGTGACCCTCCTGTCTTTCTCTTGTCATAGGGACACCCAGGACCACCCGGGCAACCTGGGCTGAAAGGCTCGAAAGGGAGTCCGGTAAGGTTTGGCAAGACAACACAGCTGGCAGGGCCACTGGCATGAATCTTGACCAGGCTGTCTTAAATTCCCAAGGGGCAGGATAGTGGAGGCAGGGGTGGGGTGGGGGAGTTTCCCGAAGGAGTGGTCCACTTGTATCAGGGCTGCAACCTTCCAGTCTGCCGACGGAACACCCCAAATCCCGAAACCATATCTAGGGGAGAAAGAAACGTGGGAGGAAGATCTACCCTTCAAAGGTAGGGGTCAGATCGGATGATCTTTGAGTCACCCAGCCCTCCGCCCTCAAAGTGGCACTGCCCTCACGGAGACTCCTGGAGGTATAAGCAACATTTCGTCGCTTGGGTCTCTGTTTATTCTTCTCTTTCTCTTTTTGTCTTTTTAAGGGCCAGAAAGGAAAGGAAGGGCGAAAGGGTGTCACCGGGAGCAGAGGTTCGCCGGTAAGGGCTAATGCAGTGTGCCTTCTCTTCTCTTCTGTTGTCTTATCTTGTCATGTCTTCTCTTCCTTTGTCTTGTCTTGTTGCCTCTTCTCTTGTCTTGTCGTGTCTTCTCTTCTCTTGTCTTGTCTTGTTTTCTCTTGTTGTGTCTTCTCTTGTCTTGTGTCTTCTCTTCGTCTTGTCTTGTCTTCTCTTCCTTCTCTTGTCTTGTCTTGTCTTGTTGTGTCTTCTCTTCCTTTGTCTTGTCTTGCCTTGTCGTCTCTTCTCTTGTCTTGTCATATCTTCTCTTGTCTTGTCTTGTCTTCTCTTGTCATGTCTTCTCTTCTCTTCTCTTGCCTTCTCTTCTCTTCTCTTCTCTCCTCTTCTCTCCTCTTCTCTCGTCTTCTCTTCTCTTCTCTTCTCTTCTCTTCTCTCCTCTTCTCTTGTCTTCTCTTGTCTTGTCTTCTCTTGTTTTGTCTTGTCGTGTCTTCTCTTCCTTTGTCTTGCCTTGTCTCATCTTCTCTTGTCTTGTCGTGTCTTCTCTTCTCTTGTCTTGCCTTCTCTTGTTGTGTCTTCTCTTCCTTTGTCTTGTCTCGTCTCGTCTTCTCTTCTCTTCAACTCTCTTGTCTTTCTTGTCTTGTCTTGTCAGCATTCAATTAATTCTCTTCTCTTCAACTCTCTTGTCTTTATTGTCTTGGCTTGTCTTCTCTTGTCTTCTCTTCTCTTGTCTTCTCTTCAACTCCCTTGTCTTTCTTGTCTTGTCTTGTCTTGTCAGCATTCAATTAAGCAATAGTGGTGGTGGTGGGTATGCCAGGGCAACAGTGCATGGATCTGGTGTAGCTCTGAGCTCCCTGCCTGCCCCCGCCAAGCTCTTTCCTACAAAGAGAGAAAAAAAAATCCTCAGAGGTTAAGCTTTTATTGATTGGGAAGGCAAGATGTTAAGTGCCACTTTCCAAGCCAGCAGGGTTGCGGGCTGCTAGTCGACCATGCAGTAGCAAAGTTGCTCCATATGCTGTGTGGAGGAGAGCTTTACTATGCCCGTGTCTATGTCACCCCGACCTTCCGTGACAAGGGTCTTTATTTGCCTTCTCAGGGTCTTGTTGGGTTGCCCGGTCCTAGAGGAGTGATTGGAAGGCAGGGTCAAGAGGGGCCCCCCGGAGTTGATGGGATTCCTGGGAAAGACGGCAGCCTTGGGCAAAAGGTAAGCCGTGGAGATGGACCGCCGTGCCCCTCTGAAAACATCGCTCTCCTGCGAGGCTGGAAGTTAAGCAGGGTACGGGGTAGCTGGGGCTTGGAGAGGAAACCACACCAGTGCTCTCCGGCTAGGGTTTGGCTAGGATCAAAGTTGCCCGTCAAAGCTGATGATACCGTGTTGGATGGACCAGGGTTCCAGCTCAGCAGAAGAAGACAGCTTCCTGCCTTCCTACAACTCTATAAACTGGTGTCCTGCTAGCAGTAGTTTAATGTGTGAAGCTTTGTTTTCAAAATTTTCTGCACGCCGCCTTGGGATTGCCTTTGATGGTGAAATGTTTAAAAATAAAAGAAATAAAAAAGCAACCCATGCTAAGGTATGAATCCTATCATTACTTCTACCACAGGGACTGCCACTGGTGCTTAGATATCCTTCACTTATCGTTCCTCTTAAATGTGACTTTCCAAACTCCCGGGCAGCAAAAAGGGCAGTTTTGTAGATCAAGCAAAGGGATGCCCTGTATCCCAACATTTCAGGGAGGGAGCGCTGTGGTCGCAAAATGCCTACAGCTTTTAGGAACGGTGGTTTGTGAAGTCTGAATCCAGCTGCTGTTTCCTGATGGTTCTGCCCTTTAATCCAGATGTGTATTTTAAAAGTGTTTATAATTTTAAGGGCAGATATTATTGACTATTGAATATTGAGGAATGCTTAGTTTGGTTTATTGCCGCTGGCAGTCTTGGATGGAAGATTTTTTTGGGGGGGAAGGGGGGGCTTTATTCAAAAGTCTGAGCATCCTCTGTGCTTCCCAGGAAGTTGGAGATCTGCCACGGAAACGGTCCAATTCATTCATATAGGAGGGAATGATATGTGTATTAAATGTGAGATCAAAAAGCAACACCTCAGGCTTGCGAAATACTGATATTTCTGCCAGTCCAAAACCTACTCAGTTCACTTTTCCATTGCTATCGGAAAAAAGCATTTGGAAAAATCGGGTGCGTGAAATCTTTCTGGGTTTGAGCTAAGACTTCTGGTGGGGGTATGTTTGCTCTCTTCTTTATTTTTATATATGAGATGGCTGAATAGCTGTATACAGATACAAATAGTTTATTTAGAGTAGGCCCATTGAATCGACTGGTGAAGGGAAAGTCTACCACCCTTAAATCCCAATGATTTGATGGGTCTACGCTGGTGGGTACTTGTGGCTGGATTGAGACTCCCAAGTTCTCCATCTTTCCTTGTGTCACCGATATAAATACAGAACTGAATATCTGCTCTGCTCTCCTCTCCCCTCTCAATTAGGGAGAACAGGGGGATGACGGGGAAGAAGGCATGCCAGGAATGGTGGGGAGAAGAGGGAACCCCGGTGTCCTCGGTCTGCCAGGAGCTCAAGGCCCCCCAGGATTCAAGGTTGGTTTGCCTCCTCCCCCTTGCCTCCTCCTTCTCGCCCTCGCGCAATTACTTTACAGTTGTTGCAAAGCCACAGGATCTGGAGTGACACCAGATGCCTGTCAAGGAGAAGCCATCTCCATTAGACGCTGGTCAGTCTTAGCCCTTGTTGGTTTTGGAAGACTTTGGGAATTGGAATTTCAGCAGGCAGCGCTTCGGTCCAAAAACCCGGGAGAGGAGGGGGGGAGAATCGGCGCCTTTCTGCTCTGCGCCAGTTTCTCACATGTTCATTCATAAGCTCCCTTCATCCGGCTTCTTTTTTAAAAAATACATATAAAACAGAAGGAGTAGTTTTGAAACACATCTTTTCATAAAATAGTTTTTTTTATATGCGTTTTAATCTAAACTAATGACACGGTTGGATCCAGGTACATTTTTGGGGGGTCCAAGAACTGTGCTGCATGCAGTTCACGAAGCTTGTTCGCCATCACGCAAGATGCTTTCCGCCCTGCGACATCCCGCCATCCCTTTTTCCTGGCTGGTCACCGTGCTGGCCCATCTGCCCTAGTCCAGTCCTTGTGGCTCAGTCGCGCTCATCCTTGGATGTTGGCCTTAGAACCCAGCCACTTTGGGGCCCCACAATCCCAAATAAACTCTCCCCCACCATCCGTCCAACTGGGGAGATCTTGCTGTTCCACCCTGGCAGTTCCCTGCCATGGCCTCAAACAGAGGGGCTCAGCAATACCTGGCACTGCCAGGATTGAACCTTAGCCTTCTGCTTGAAAAGCTGGTGCTTTCAGGCTTGCTGTCTCATGTGTATCTCTGCATGTTTCCTTGCGGTTGTTTTTTCTAACTGCATGGTGGGGGCGGAATTAAAGGGAAAAATAGGAGAAGAGACACCCGGGAAGATTGCTTATGAATGAATTGGGGGGGATTCCGTTAATCAGCTGATCAGTGGGCCTTCCCCTTGTCTGTGGCTGCCCCCTAATGGCTGCATTTAGGACTGCACCCTAACTGTCAAGGTTGATCTGGAGCCCTCTCTTCAGTTCTCTTCCTTTTCCAGGCAACGTACCTACTTTTCTGATAACTGGGGGTGGCAAACCAGAAGCAGATCATGGGCGTATCAGTAACGGAGAGAGGTCTTCTTTCTTCCTGGCACTCATCAGTTTGGAAGTTGGTGCCGGTTTGCCCTTGGTGGGCACGGGGATTCAGCTCAGCCGTGTCTGAATCCTCCATTGAGCGTGGAACCATTACGTTTGGGACTACAACCCCCAAAATCCCTAACCGTTGGCATTTGTAGTCCAAAGCAGAAACTTTTTCAAGCTCTGAACTTAGGTATCTTTTCCAGGGTAAAAAACAGAGCATGTTCCATTGAGTTTTCCTTTGGCTGATGCAGATGCTCCTCTCCTCCACCCCACCCCCACCCCCTTTGGGCTTCTTCCAGGGAGAAAGCGGATTGTCTGGACAAGCCGGTCCCTTGGGCAAACGAGGACCCCCGGGCGGGATGGGCATCCCTGGAAGCCCTGGTGATCCGGGGCCAAAGGGGCAGCCGGTGAGTAGAAGCCTTGGAAATCGAAAGGATCCTCTCTCTCTCTCTCTCTCTCTCTCTCTCTGTCTGTCTGTCTGTCTGTCTGTCTGTCTGTCTGTCTGTCTGTCTGTCTGTCTGTCTGTCTGTCTATCTATCTATCTGTCTGTCTGTCTTTCTAGCTACAGTAGCTATCTAGCTATTTATTTATTTATCATCTATCTATCATCTGTCTGTCTGTCTGTCTGTCTATCTATCTATCTATCTATCTATCTATCTATCTATCTATCTATCTATCTATCTATCTATCTATCTATCTATCTATCTATCTATCTA